GGGGGTGAGCCGCGGGCGGAGGTCTGTGCTGGGGGCTGGCGCGGGGCGGGTGGGGAAGAGCGGAAGGGGGCGTAGCGAAGGCGAGGGATGTTGAGGGGGCGGGTGCGAATCCCGGGTGAGGGCCGGAGAGGACCGGCCGGAATTCGGGGGCTGGGGGTGGGGTGGGTGGGGTGGGGGAATCCTTCAGCCACTTGCACCGACCCCGCCCCAGGGCCGCTCACGTCGGTTCCGGGGCGGATTACCCCTCTCCAAACGGCGCGGCGCTGCGGCTCCTGCGAGCGGGGAGGCGGGGTGGGGTCGGCGTCCGCGCGTCGGGAGACCGTTACTGGGTGGGCAGGTGGGGTACTGCGGCTCCGGGCAGGGTGGGGCCGGGGCGTCCGCGTGGGCGTGCCGGGCGCTGCGCGGCGCCGCTGGCCCTGGAGACTAACCGCCGCCGCAGGGCTTCGGCTGCCCACCCTTTGACCCCTCTCCCTCAAGGGCACTCTCCGAGCCACCGGAGCCCTAAAACCAAATCTCTGGAGCCTCTCTCCTCCCCCGTACTTCTCGCCCTGAAACCTCCATTCGTCCTTCTCGGTCCCTCCCTCCTGCAGTGAGTATCCCGCTTTATTTGTTAAGTAGTTAGGTGACATTCTAAATATCCTGGGTCATTTCCTGGAGTGCTTCTGCTCTGGAGCTCAAGCCACGTTCTGCGGCGGGCGGTCACTTTCATCCCTGCCTTATTAAAGCACTCATGTGACCCCTCTCGCCCTGAAAAGTGTCTGCGACCTCGGGTCTCGGTTTTACGCACCTCAAGCCAGTTCTGTATAACTCAGCTCCGAAAAACCTCTGTGACTCATCTTCTGGCAGGGCGACCGTCCCCTCAGTTCTTTCTGAAATAAACGCCCTTACCTGCAGGGAAGCCGAAGGCAGTACTCCCCGATTCGTACAGCGTAAAATCGGAAAGCGCTGGGTTGCTACACTGCCATGTCGGACCAAATGGTGATTTTCACTCATGAACATTTGAAGGTCTTGGAAACACCTAGCTAGCTCTCAGGGCAGTGACCGTGGGGCTGTATTTCGCAGTTGAAGACCCAGGATCAGACAGGCAAAGTAACTTGCTCAAGGTCACAGCACTATTCACAAAGAACATTTAAGCTCCCAGATTTTCCCACTCAAACACGAAATAATTTTTTCCCAGTCCTCTCTCCTGCCTCCGAAAAGTATGACAGTGTGTAGTAGGAGAATGCTTGGTTGGTGGCACTGACCCCATTCATAAATGAAATGGATCAGATAAACTACCAGCTCGAGTTAATTTTCCCACTATATGTCAGCAAGTTATAGATTTGATTTTTTTTCTTAACGTGCAGTTCTTGTGACAGAAGTTGGTTTGCTCAGAAAGCAGCGAAAGAAGGAAGTAAAAAAGAATTCAAGAATGCTTTGTCACAAATGGTTGGGAATGAAACAGTTCCCAGGAATGTCCTCTAGCACTTAGCCCCTCTCAGACTGGCTTATTTTTGGTAGCAGACTGGCAGGCAGCAAGCATATTTTTAAAGTAATAATCCCTGAATACCTTAGGAACTTATCGCATTGAAGAAATGCATTTGTAGATATGCTTTCATTTTCAGTCTTCACCTGTCAAAATGACATTGCACAAGTCTGTATATTGCCGATCTTAAAATAATCCTAAACCGTGACTATAAAGTTCGAATTAATGGATTTTTTAAACGGTTTTTAAAAATCTCCCCTATCATTCAATGTCTGGCTAGTAAGTTTTTAGCAAGTAGGATCAAGTACACCACTATCGAAGGACAGCCTAAAAGCTGTGGGTCTAAACAGCAGAGCGACTCAGACAGCAAAGTCACGTGGCTAAAGAGGTCACCCTTGCCGGAATTCTCAGTGCCACCAAAACAGTGTCCTTTCAGTTCACTGTTTTGGAAAATAACTCTGGTAAGAGAAAATTAACTTCCCTTGGTATGGTGAGTAACCACTAAAACGATGACTTCCCAGCTTCTCTGACCTCCAAAGCTGCCCTCTCCCTGGAAAGAGGAAGCTTGCAGGTGACCTCTAGTTAACTGGCCAAGTCTTCAATGGGTCCTAAGGAAACCTGGGTGTAGCCTGATGTCATCCTCTGCTGTAAGGATAGCGCAGTGGGGAACAGAGAAAGGATGAGCCCCTCTCAGTTGCTGGCACCCGAGTGGAAGAGGTGATGGAGCTGCAGACATCAGATAAAGAGCATCTGCAGCCACTGACAACCGGCATGAGCTGCCCGGCATCCCCCAGCTGAAAAATGAATGAGGGGGAGGCGTCGACCCATTCGAGCAAATGCTCAAAGACACAGCCCACCTGCTTCAACTGCTGCAATGCAAAAGAAAGATATAAGCAATAGCTGCCGCATACACACAGTGAAGTGAACCTTCACCAAAAGAAAACATTCCAGTTGTACATGTCCTGTGACCCCTGAGGCTTCCTGAGTGGAGTCCAAGGACGACAGGTGGGAGGACCCAGGGTAAGTATACCGAAAGAGTTCTTAATGGACAGGTAGGAAGCTCCTCTAGAGCTTTGCTAGTGACACTGGGGGTGTGGCCTGAAGTCTGAGAGATTTTGAGATAGGAAAAATGTAGGTGGCCGTAGGGCAGGGTGACTTGAGCCTGAGCCGCAGGGCATGTAGGTGCTAAAACCTTGAGCACCTCAGCTAACAGCCTGGCGAATTCTCTCCAGTTCTTTTCCAGTTGTTTTATGTTTAACTATGTTAGCAATGTTCCAGAATTGTTCAGTGGACACCTCTGTGGTGTATTAATTTGTCTCTGAAGTGCAATACACAGAATTTTCAGTTGCCTTTAAGAAAAAAGAAATTAAGAACTCTTAAGTTCTGAACACCAAGGTTACCTTGTGCAGGAGCGAGGGTGATTTTCAGAGGATGATGAAGTGCGATCTGTTTACTCTAAGTGCTGGAGGCAGCGTGTGGCTTTGTTGTACATCAGAGCTGAGACCATGTCAGCAGCGGGCAATGTATGTGCAGACAAGTCCACAACCCGTATCTCTTATTCTAGCTTCTTCATTGGACTGTAGCCTCGTGTGCTAAACACTCTATGTGACTGCTGGGTGAAGCCAACTTCTGTCAAAAGACCTGGGACCTAGGAATCATTGTCAACTGACCTGGGCCAAAAACAGCGCCTCCTGCCAGCCTGCTCCTTTGCCAGTCTTCATTATTCAAGGAAACCCAGTGTGCAGTTACCAGTAGCTGAAGCCAAAATTCTTGGAGTCATCCTTGATTATTTCACATCACATATCCAGAGTACCCGAACATTCTTTCAGATGTCCTTTCACTGTTACTGTTCACCGCCACCCCAACGCAAATCACTATCACAGCGCACCAGGACTCAAAATAGCCTCGGGTCAGCTACTTCTTACATCAAATCCATCCCTACAACAGCTGGGACTGTCCTGTGCAAACAGAAGCCACGAATGCCACGCCTGGCCCAGGAATCGCCCCCACCAAACTTGCTGCAATGTGAGAACATTTAGTTTCTATAACATTATTTGAATGAAAATCCTCTGCTCCCATTTTAACTCTAACCCTTGCATATATTTATTTTCTCACTTTACTAAGTAGCATTACATATTTGCACATGTATATTTCAGTTACTTGTTTTCTCAACTAACGCCTTCCACTTGCAACGCTGGCTCCACAGGAGAGACTGCTGTGTGTCCCAGTGCCCAGGACACCGAGTACCTGGTCAGTGTTTGTTGAGTAAACATATGAATAATTCAGGCAATCGAGCGGGTAATTATTAATCAGCCACTGTGTTTGAGGACTGTGCAGATGTTTAACCAGCATTCCCAGGTGGGAATGCAATCTGTAGGGTAATGAAGGATGCAGTCCCAGCATTTTGGGACCGCATGCGATGCAAATCATTTTTTTCCCTTGCTTAATATGAAGTTACTCTATTCTCTTAGTCCTCTGTAGTTGCTGACTAACTAAGTCAAAGTCTTTAACGGGTGTTGCTCTTACATTCAACAATATCAGAAATTGGAAAAAGACTATTTCAAGACTGAAAAGAAAGTAAAGAAGTAAGGGAGTATGTATGGATGGTCTCGATAGCTAATGCATCTCAGTGATCGTCCATCTAGTATGTTCCCGGAGCATAAACTAGATTGTATAATAGATGGTATTCTAACATTTGCAGATTTTTTTAAAAGATATACTTATTTATGCATACAAGAACTGGGGTACAGGCCAGAGCTGTGAGGGCAAGAAGATTTCCCAGAGACAGAGTGGGAAGAAGAACAGGTGGGGATCTACTGAAATCCTCTGTTGAGGGGAGCAGCGGGGAGGCAGGAGAGGTCTGATGCGCCCTGTGGGCCACTCCTTGGCTGGGGATCGAACTCTTGCCACAGTGGCTGGGGATAGCTTCAGAGTGCTGAGATTTAACCCCTTGTGCCACCAGAGAGGCCGCTAACATTTGTAGATTCTGCCCATAAGTTTGGTACTATTTTTCCCTTCAC